ATTAGCTACCAATCTGAGTAGAAGCCTAAGTCAAGTAGACTAAAACTGATAAATTGATAGGGTTTCTAGAAATAGTTAAATAAAAAAAACCCAGGCCATTTCTACTTAGGAACTGGAAAAGACGTAGCAAACAAGGATGACAGGTAAAACAAATCAGTTGGAAGAAGAATAATTCTTTAAATTTTCCAGACCCAACCTCAGACAATATAATTTTACAGTAACTGTTCTGAAAACATAAAAGAAAGCTCAGAGAGGCTAAAACTCCATGAATCAGAGATGACAAATGAAGTGATCACCCCAAAGGACTCAAGTCTTCAATAATGACTCACACATGATGAGAAACTAAGCAGTGAAGGGATAATTTTCCCCCATATATGTACGTTGTGCTCTGAGCACAGAGCTCCCAGGACAATGAAGTCCCACTTCTGTGAAACGGAGGGAAAAATCAAACAAAAAAGGCATCTCAAGAGACAAGTAAGAGGCAGTAGAATCTACTTTGCAATTGGGAAACTTGACGCACAGGGGCTCAAGGTATAGGAGAGCCCAGACTGCCACCCTGACAACACTCTGGTGGGAGAGGTAAACAGAGGTGATGACATTTGTTGACGTAACATGCCTTCTCCCTGTCCTTGCACCCAGGCAGGTCTCTCACTTCTTTAAAAAGTTAGTCTGTTCAAGCTCCAAAAATAAAGGACAAGAGAATAATTCCTCACCCTACCCAGTGAGGAAACAAATGCTGACAAGCACAGTCATTGTAATTTCACAGTGATGACTTGAAATGTGCTTCTCATGGAGATTTAACATCTTAACAGGTGGCTCAGCCAAGCACTCCACCACAAAGAAAAATACTTCATCTTTCACACCCAAAGCTTCTTCCAAGAAATTCATCACACACACCACAGAATCAGCCCCTGTCTTATCTTCCCTTGCCCAGACAAAAGATAAAAAGTTCAGATGGAAACCTTACCTAGTTGTGATAGCAAAGTAACCACAGACAAGGTGAGAGATGGGTTTGTATTAGTGTCCTCGAGGAGCTCCACAAGGCAACTGAGACACTCACTTGGTAAAATCTGGTTTGAAGCAAATAACCGTGTAAGCTTCAGTCCAGAGATAACCTGGAGATGAAAGGGGAAAAACAAGCTTACTCAACTGCAACAAAGTAATTCACACAGAAGTCAAAGCACAGAGTTGTATTAAATAGACTATGCCCTTTATGACAAACTGAGAATACAAGTGCCACTCTACAGAGGCATTTGAATTCCCATCTGCTAAGAAAAAGAAATGTTTTGAAAGAAAATCTGTTTTTCATTCCAGTGGATGTGTTCCCTTTACTCTTGGAAAGTACCAGATTTATTTATTTTGAAAGTACAACCAAACAGATTGCTCAACACAAACATGTAGCAATCAGCCTTCAGCTGAGCCCAACAGCCTGCTTCCTTAGGATGTGGACAGGATCCCAAAGGTGCCATTCCACAGGAAGAGAAGCAGCAGCAGTCAGTGCTGTTTTGGGAGCACTCTGTGACTGAGATGAAAAAAAGTGAAGCCTGGGTTCAGGAAACCCTGTACAAGAAGATGCCAAAAATTACATATCTGTACATCAATACAGGCAGACGCAATTTGTATTTTAGATAACAGAGACACATCATGTTGAGTTTGCACATTCCCTGTGTATCTCTTTACGAGGTGCACAAACAAGAAAGCAAATAGAGATGCTAAGTCTCATATAAATGTTTTAGTGATTAAAAAAAAAAAAAATCTGTATTTGAAAAAGGTGCCTTGCAGATGAAGTAATTCAGCCAGTGGCCAACACAGGGTTCTGCACAAGGCTGTACCTGGAGGCCAGGGAAATGCACTGGCCTACCATCTGAACAAAAAACACACCGGAATACGTGTTGCATGGAACTGGCAAACTCCAGATACAAGACCAATTCATCATTCAAACTCTGTTTTTAAGACGTGAAAATAAGTGATCTTTGTGGGTCAGAATTCTGGGGATATGAAAAAAACCAGAAGTCCCTCGTAACACACGCTATATGCCTTCCCCGAGTGTTTATAAGCATACTGTACACATCTGCAAACACACTGTAAACACATAAGCACACCACAAAGCATTATAACAAAGGACACCACAGCCGCCCCCACGCCCCGCTCCCGCCGCGCCTCGGGACTCCCACCTCCAGGCTGCGCTGCAGGAGCGCGGCGTTGTGCGGTGTCTTGGCGGCGCGGTACTGCGTGGCTGCGAGGAGCAGAGCCTTCATGCAGCCCGGGGCGTCCATGGCGGGGCAGCCCCTCACACGCTCCGCGCTCCGCCCTCGCTCGCATTTCCCGCCGCCGGCGCCATCTTGACGCAGCGGCCACTGAGCGGGACCGGCCGCCGGCGCCGCGGGGCACGACGGGAGACGCCGCCGCCGCCATCTTGCTTAAGGGAGACAGGGACGAGGGGTCGGGCGGCGAGGGGAGTTGAGGGAGGAGCGGGGTAAATCCAGGGAATGCAGCCGCCTGGTTTGATAACACCGGCTTCAGGGTTTACGTGCAGCGGTGCAGAGAGAGACTCTTCCTAAGCGGAGCTCTGTGCGGTTGAGATGAGCTGTCCTGCAGCCCCCCGCGCTGTGGAGGGCAGCCTGGGGGTTGCAGCTGCCGCCGGTTCCCACCTGCGCCCATAGCCCTGTTTCTCTCTGCTGTTGCCTGACTTGTCCGCATCAGCTTTTCCTCTCTCACTGGGGTGGGCTTGAGCCCGGGGAGCAGCCAGGAGCTCCTCCTGGGCTCCTCCAGCCTCTCCCGTGGGAAAGGGAAGCCTTGGTGGGGTCTCGGCGGCGGCGGGGATCGAACCCGAGAGCCGCCGCTTGTCCTCGCACGGCGCCCACCCCCTGCGGTCTGAGACCGTGCTGGAACCCTCCTTACACCGTATTGTCTCACACCGTGTTCTCACCTTTCTTACACCGTGTTCTCACCTTTCTTACACCTTGTTCTCACACCTTTCGACTCTTCAGGTGCAACAGGGTCTGCCCCCTCACTGCTCAATCCCCCCCTCCACACGGATACACACACACTCGCCCTTGGGATGTAGGGAAGTAGTTGCTGCTGCGTGAAGCTTTCAAACATGTTTTCTCAGCTCATGCACGGATTGTTTCCTGCTATTTGTGTTGCCTCCAAATGTGTGCAGGAATGTGTATGTTGTCCTCATTTTCTTATACTGTTAACAGGATAAACATTGCCGTATAGCAATAAAGCAGTGGTGAATAATGTAACGTCAATCGCGATGTAAGGCCAATTGCAATCTATGTCTCTTTTTCCTGCTTTAAATCCTTTATCTTTATCATGCTCTGTGCTTCACCTGACCGCTCGGAGGTAATGCCTGAGAAGTGACCAGAGCGTGGGCTTGGAGCCACCCTCAGTCCTAGATGCAACACCTGGAGCTGCAGCCACAGTTGCGTTGTAAATCCAAGTCTGAAACACGTCTGCCAGCTGAAAGGCACCTCAGCCCGGCCCCTTGTTCCCTCTCCAGCCACCAGGAATCACATAGTCAGAGTCATGAGGCACAGGCTGGGAATTCTTGTCACTCAGCCCTTTCCCAAGGCTGAGCATCAGTGAGACTGACTGAGCACGCAGGGGACTGCTGAGACTGTGATTTCAGAAAAACGAGTGTTGTGTTCTGTTAAAGACCAGGCTGCTGGAGGTGGAGTGTCTCAGCACAGCAGTTGCTCAGTCTGATACCTGTGATAACCAGCCATCAGACAGGCTGCTCCATTCTGAAAGTAAAGAGACACATCAGTGTACGCACTTCTACAGAGCAAGGGTTGTTTTTTTTTTTAGTCCAATAGTACAATTTTTCATGGACAACTACTTTCTTTTCAATTCATAATGTTTTGGACACATATTTTAGTGTTTCTGGTAATGCCAGAGTTAATTAACATCCTTATTTTTTTTCTCTCCTTCATGCTGTAAGTACCAGTTGTCTCTGGCACCAAAAACTGTTAGCACTGTTAAATTAATAATTAATTCCTAAGCACTGAAAGAGCTAAAATTCCTTTGACAAGTTCCTTTCTCATGAAAGAAACATAATAGAAAAAAATGTGACTAGTATTATCCATTAAAATACATAAATAATTTGTGAAAGATCTTAAACACACAACCAGTATAAATGTGTTTCTCACTGTCTCAAGTGGTGAGAGACTGTGTAGTAGTGACTTGGAGAGTCAGGACATACCTTCCAATTCTGGCTTTGACTGTTAATTGCAGACCACCTTCAGAACAAAAGTGTTTATTAAATATTTAAAACTGAGGTTAGTATTAAAGAAAATTTTTGTATTTAAAAAAACAACAAAACACATCACAATATAGAGCCAATGGCAGTAGCAAATGAAATGCAGTAAGCATTCTCATATGTGCAGCACCTATTAAACACTGGTATGCGTTCATACCGACATGCACACAGAATTTGCACTCCACTTGTAATCTGCCAGAACCATTCCTCAATATTAGAAGTATTTCAAACCTTTTTCGTTTTGTTGATTAATTCTTTATGGCATGGATTTAACACAGCATTTTTGTTTTAATTTGGATTATTCCAAACTACAGAGCATTACTAGTATTCTTTGGTGTTGATGAAATCCTATCCAATTATCCAACAAGGTAACATGAATCATGTGCAAAATAGCAGAGTTCAGAGGTTTTAAAGCATCTTGTAATGCCAGTAGAAGATTTTACATTTATGGTTTTTATAGACACATATCAATTCTGTCATAAATTACTGCTTTATGTACATTAATTTATTGTACTTATATTGCTGCTTTCTAACAGAATATTCACTCTAGTGGTCAATATCTTGGACAGTTTGCTGGCAAAAAACCCCAAAACACACATACATGGACAGAAATACCTTTCCATGTATGAATGTGTCTGTTATAAAAAATAATTCTTATATTGCTGAGCAAAAATACATAGTAGCCTGTACTGGCTCTAATGGGAGAAAATACAGCTGCTCTGACAGTCTGCAAAAGGAAGAGAATAATTCCAAAGGTAAAGATCCACAGAGGACGCCCAGCTGGCAGCTCTCTCCAGCTGATCCACTGCACTGTGGCACAGCCTGAAATGGCAGCTTCCCAAATTGTCAGGTGCAGATCCTTCAGGGTAAGACAGTGACATAATCGCCATCATCAATTTCTGTAAAGCAATCGAGAAAAACAAAAAAGGATGTTCTCATTAAAAGTGGCCCCTCTGAAAGGCCATGGTAAGCAGGATGACCTGTGGCGGGGCAGGTATCAGTAACTCGATTTGGTTTCTCAATATTCCCTCTGCTGTTGCAGGGACAACGTTTAGGCCCCCTGTCCTATGGACTGGGTTTGCCACCAGCCCGCGTGGAGGCAAAACCTGCATTGCCTTTTCTGAGCCATCAAGCCCTGATATAAACAGTTGTATCCCACGTGAGACCCCCTTCTTCCTGAGGAGCAGTGAAATGTTGGCAATCATTCATAGTATGTAAATCAGATCAGTAGCTGAGATATCTGTGACTATCGCATAACACATCCTCTCTTCTCTAAATAAATACCCAAGAGGAAAGGTCTCATCCCAACCAAGGAAGGAGAGCCTGAAGAAACCCTTTCTCTCTTACACCTTGTTCATATTTATTATGCTTTTTGAGAAGCCAGGGGAAAAGCAGAAATTGCATGCTTGGGACTCAAAGCTCTGCTATGGAAACCTACTGCTCTTCAGACAAGCTGTTCCTAGGCTAAAAAGCAAAGTTCAAAAATCTCCAACCACCAGGATCGTGATTCCAGTCCCTTGTGGTGTTCCACTGGTCGCACTGGAGCCCTCAGTCCCACAAGTGCAGCAAAGCCAGCTGCTGGTGCAACATGAGGGACTGGGACAAGAAAACACTGTGCTTGCTTTGGGGAGCACTGCGGTGTGTTGTGAGGTGCCTGTGTTTCAGAAAGATCCATCATGACATTAACCTGAGCTCCCCTTGTAAGCACATAAAAATGCAGTCTGAGGGGAAAGTTTGGAATGCTAAGTGAAATTTAAATTAAAATTGAGTAACAACAATTCCAAAGTAGTTGGATTGTTTCTAATAGCCTCCATATTTATGGACAACCATGAATATTTTGACAGTGAAATGAAAGGGTTTGTTTTCCTCCCTGTAAATCCAGAGCAGAACATTGTTCATCTACTAAAAAAATCCTTGTTGCAGGACTAGACAATAAAATATGTATTACACCTGATTTTTCCTAAAAACATATCCATACTACTGCAGTATTTTCCATCTCCCCGGAGCTGCAATGGTAAGATGTCATAAAAACATTTTTAGAGTAAATGTGGCCTATCTGCCTTTTGGTAGAGGTGACAAGGTGATGTTGAAGACATGGGAAATCTCTTTGCTACTGTTTCCCTCAGTCTGTTGGGCTCAGGGAGCACCAGGACTGTTGCAGTGCTGTTGTGTGCAAAAAAACAGTGACTGCAGCACAGAGAGGCTGCCCCACACCACTGCGCTGAGCTATTGTTAGGCATGAGATCTAAATCACACAGCAGATTGGACACTTCAAGGTTTTGTTTCCTTTACAATAATGGTACTTAATGGAAGGATTTCCCTTGCTCACGTGTTCCCTCGCTGTGACTCTTGTCACACTCAGTCAGAGGACACTGAACAGTTTCAGGGTTATTTTTCAGCCTGTGGCCTGATGGATGCTGCAGCTGAGCATAGTACAGCAGTAACATGAAGGATGGCTTTCAGTGGTGTGTGAGGGGTGCTGGCAAGTTAGCAATAGCATGTCCAGTCATCCCTCCCAAAACAAGGCCGTTTGGATTGACATGAGGCTATAAAACAGTCTAAATCTTTATGAAAACCTGCATCTTTATTGTAACTATTTCCATAATTATGTCAGGAGAAATGTCATATCCTTGTCTTACAGCTGGGACTCATAAGCATAAATTAGCAGAAGAAGATCAACAAGAGGCTGAACTCTCTGGTTCCAAATGTGTGATTCTGACTACCAGGCTATATGCTTATTAATTAGCCATGTTTTAATCTAAATCACAATTAATCACAAGATGACTGGCTTTCTTTTTTTTCTTCATTTTTTGTTCTTGCTCCTCTCCCCCCAGTCTCAGAAATAACTGAGTTAGGTTTTCATGTAAAAATAGCTTAGAACCTGGACAATGAAGGTAAAACAGCTTCAACTCTCAGTGAAGCACAAAGGCCTGACACCTCAGCAGAACCACATTGGGTAAAACTGGTTCTCAGCCTAGAAATGTCAATACCCACGAGGGAGTGAGATGTGGGCAATATCATGATTCTCTATCTCTCACAATTTTAATTTGTTAATTTGTAGTGGACGAGGGTAAGTAACGTAAGTAACCTGTGAGAATAACCATTTTCAGTGAGCATAAGAGAGAAGGGAGAATGTCGAACTTCTATCCACGTGAGAGGACATTCAGCAACTATTTACCACAAACCTGTCAAAGCTGTCATCTTAAAAAAACCCACAAAGGCAGAGCTAAATTTCTCACCACCATAAACCTTGTCCATTCCTGAGCTGAACCTCTGGCTTCTTTGTGAGGCCTTCTGTTTCTTCACTGGGTAGCGGAGGTTTGTTATTAGTCCTTGATCTGGCTTTTCAAATGCATATATCAGGTCCTTTAATGTTCTGAAGACCCTCTCTGGATCACCTTCAGAAGTCTGCAAGGAAAAGACAACAAAGTTTGTTTGCAACTGTCCTTCCCATGGAGTCCCCTAAATGAAAGAAATGATAGGTTGTTTCTTATTTAACAAGGACCTGTTTTGTAAACAGATTTGATGACAGAATATTGTACTGTCTTTAAAAAACATTTGCAACACCTGTTTGGTAGCATGGTTTTGACACTAAGAGTAACCTCCCTCACCATCTCTTCCTTTCTTTTTCTTTATTTTTCCAAAAGAACAGTGTATTTAAAATATTGCTGTAGATGTGGGCTGCGGCAATTCCACTACAGCAGAGAACCAGAGACAGCATGACACATAAGTTTAGGGATAACATATTTAGTTCTCACTTAAAATGTTGTATTTAAACAACTATGTAACAAACAGGAGCCAAACTTTTACAAAACATCAGCACTGTCAAGCAAAGGACATGTGCAGTGGTGGTGGATGTGTCTGAGGAGCCATACGAAAGCCCCCGGCTTTCACTATCAGGCAGGGGTTTATTATCTGTCCAGCTTTGTAACTTCCATTGGAGACTTCTGAGGCCAAAAATGGAGGATGGTACTCCTTAGGGGAGCAACAATGTTCTCACAAACTGCTTTTGAAGTGTAAGTTCATACAACAAGACTGAACTGCTTCCATGGCACAGCTCCACAGGGGTCTGTACGCAGACTTTACAGCGCTGGTGACTTCAGGGCCAGGCAGTGAGCACATCAATCAGCTCTAATCACAGCAAGCATCCTCATTAAAAGTGAACGGGGCTTTGGTTTCACTTAATTCACCATTTAACAAAGAAACGTGTCTTAATTTTCTTTGGTTTTCTGCATCCTTTGTCTTCCATTCAGCCCTGTATGGACTTTGTGCCTCTGCCTCTGTGTACTAGGTCTAGCTGGGATGGAGTTAACTTTCCTTGTAGCAGCCTGGATAGTGCTGTGTTCTGAATGTGTGACTAAAACTGTGGATAACACACCCATGTTTGGCTGTTGCTGAGCAGTGCTCATGCAGCCTTCAGATTGTTCTTTTTTTTTCACATTTTGCTTCCCCAGTGAGTAGATTGAGAGTGTGCTGGGAGGGGACACAGAAGAACAGCAGATCCGAATGTACCAAAGGGCTATCCCATCCCATCCCATCCCATCCCATCCCATCCCATCCCATCCCATCCCATCCCATCCCATCCCATCCCATCCCATCCCATCCCATCCCATCCCATCCCATCCCATCCCATCTCACACTGTGATCAGCCATAAAAGCTCAGGGAAAGTGAAGAAGTTTGTGGTTGTAGCATCTGTCTTCTCATGTAAACACTGCATGTGCTGAGGCCCTGTTTTCTAGAGGGTGGCTGCCTCCTGATGGGAAGGAGTGACTAAACTCCATCTTTGCTTTGCTTGCATGCACAACTTTGCCTTACCTATTAAACTGGTCCAGGAGTTTCCTCACTTTTGCTCTTCTCATTCTTTTTGCCCCACCTGTCCTGCTAGGCAGGGCAAGGAATAAGAAGCTGTGGGGGTGCTTAACTGCTGGTGGGGGCAAACTACTGCACTCTGGAAAGCTCATGGCTGAATCCGGCCTTTAAAAAACCCCACATCTCTCCTCCACCATCAGTATATTATTTCAGTCTATTAGTTTAGTAAGGCCAAACAATCTGACTTTAAATTTTGAAGAACAAAATTCTTCTTTCACATTCTTGGCAAAACTTTGTAAAGAAAAGTGGGTTTGAAAAAACTAAAAGTGTCTGAGTTATCACCTGCTGATAAGAATGACAGCAAATCCCACTACTGTGTCTATAGTCCCAAACATATTATATTTTGTCAACAAACCATTCTTCTTCATGGCAAATTGCATCTCTCATACTCAGGGAAAACCACTAATAAGCAATAAATTACCAGCCTATGAGAGCTTGGCATGTCTTTTATGAAGTGATTTCCTCATTCCACTTAAATGCTACCTAATTGTTGGCAGTGCTTTTGGCTGTCTTCCTACATGCAGGGTAGCGGGCCAGCTTTATAGGTGTTCTCTCACATTGCCTGGGGATTTGATTGATGCAGTGGTCTGCTCTTACACTTATCTTTTCTTGAATAAGCAGCATTATTTGGCATCATTACTTCAGGTGCCTCAAAATCACACAGAATTATGGACTCTTCAAATGAAAAAGATGATTGCAATATTCCATATCCCTACAAGATGCTGTGTGCAATGGCAGAGCTTTCAAGTAGAAAGCGCTAATTAGGAATAGGAGCAAGTAACAAAAGGGACAGATTTTTCTTCAATGCTATCAAAAACAAATGGTCAAATCAGAAAGCAGCAGGTTAATAAATAACAGATCTGCTTGGATTATAAGGAAGTTCTACAAAAACGGTAGCTACTTTTGAGCTCTTAAGTAATAATAAATATAACATCAAAAAGACAAGAGAAGAAAGCAAACTTGTAAATATTTTCTATGGTATTGTGTTTATGTATTTTTTTTAAAATCTATGATCTATGATAGATCAAATGATTGTAGATTAAAATGATCATTTATTGACTATAATCTTTTAATCTATGATTTTTAAAATCTAAAATTTTAATGGGCAATCTCTAGAGATATATGGAGAGTTACTCACCTGTATTCTAAAATATCCTTGGTGCTCCCTGAAGATACGGTACGTGTAGATGAGGTTTTCAAAGCTGTAAAAAACATAGTTGTATAAATAATACACCACATCTGTAACTAAGTGCAAGACTAGAGATATCTTCAAACAGTAGATAGTATTAAAGATATGAGGAGCTGTGCAGTAAAATTCAATGATACAGAGGCAGAAAAGCAAACCAGAAGATTGCAAAAAAACAGGGATTTCAAAATGAGTGAAGGTTTAATATCTTGAAATATAAGATTACTCTAAATAGGGGTTTTCAAGAACTTATGAACTAAACCTAACACACAGACCTTTTATAAGCATAATTTGTTTCCACAGACATCATCTCCTCTCATCTGTCTTCTTATCCTCCTCTGGTGTGATATCTCCCTGAATTTCTTTGATATTCTATCACAAGAAGTCTGTTGAATTCTTGAAGGGATGTTAGCAGAAAATGGCCTCCAGTCACCAGCACCTGGAAAATTACTGCATGGCTCCTACTTCTAAGAAAGTTGTTCTTCCTTTGCATTTCCCAGGGCTTTACTTATTGTTATTTTTGATAATATTCAGGTGTTTGAACACTGAGGCTACTGATGTCTTTGGACATACTTTGTCAGCAGAAATTAAAGCTTTATCAAGTACTGCAGGGGCAGCAATTCAAGAGGTGAACGAGAGATTGTGACTGTGATGAAAAAAGGCAGCAGAGCTGCAAGAAGACCTACACCACAAATAAGTGAGAGGATTGGAGAGTGGGGAGCAGTATCTGAAAACAAGTTCTTTTAACTGGTATAAATGTTCATCGGAGGAACTTCAGTTGTGGCTATGTGACTAAGTGAATTGAGCTGTCTTGAGAGGGAGAATCTTAGGGTGAAAACCTGGGTCAGGGGACTTGCACATAAATGAAGAGTTACTCTGAAATAAACAGCTTTGGTTTGCAAAAAAAGTTATTATGGACTGAAATGAGGATAAGGCTTCCAGTTGTAATAGATTCATTTTAATTCAAAGAGTGGTATCACAGGGATGCATGTTTTCTACTTGATATACCTGTGAAAATCCACATGTTCCTTGCTTAAGAGTACTTCATGAATGTAGTTGCTTATTTTTTGAATGAGCAACCTTTTATACCTTCTGACAGGGTATGCAAGCTCTGTTCCCTCCCATACTCCTCAACCCCTACATTGTCTCATTCCACAGCACAGTGAAAGCAGGTTCCCATAGCACGCTCCCTGAGGGATCTGTTTTTCCCCCACTTGCTATTTCTCTTGTTTTTCTGTCGTGTGCAGACCTCCTCTCTTCTACCTAGCAACCCTATGGTACTACATTTTTCTCTCCCTTTTTCTCCCTTCTCCTTTGATTTATTTCAGAAGAAATGCATTTTTAGTCATTGATAAAACATTTTCTTGTATTTTTGAATTAATTAGATATGTTTTTAAAAATTTTTCATGTCATACTCAAACACATCCTCAAGGAAAGTGTAAAACTTCACAGGTTCAAGCAAAGAAAGACCTAGATTCTAATTTATAAACTTTAATGCATTAGGAACAGATCAATTATATATGAGAAGTGTAAAACAACCTTCTTGACAGGGAAATAAAAGTGTTATTCCCTACAGGAGAAGAAAATAATAAAATTTTAATTGTAGTAATTAAAGTTAAGGACTAGAAGTAGCAATTTTCTATGCCCATCTTGTCTGTGGATTTGTCATATTAATTCAAACAGGACTTTATAACGTTCTGTCTCAGCTTATATTCTTATATCAGGTAAAATTACTTTGAAACACAAGGCTAAGCTTTCATCAGAAAGAAATTCTAGAAAGAAGGAAGCGTTTTATAACAGACCATGAGACTTTTCAGTCTCTGAACAGTGCTAAAATGCTGTTTACTCATCATTACAGAGGCAGTCACTTTGAGTAAGGTTCTTAACGTGTTTTGGCAGGCTAAGCTGTTTTCTTTGGGCTCTCCTTGTTGTCTGCAGAGAGAGACCAGCATCAACAGATTACAGTTCATTTATTGTCTGTTACATAAAATATTTTTTGCAAAGGTCACCCTCTCACCACTCACTATAAAGGAAGCTTAAGACAAGCAGCACTGCTTGAATGCGTGGACACACTGCCTTGGAGTCTGTTAATATCAGAGAAGAACCATTAATGTTAGAGAAGATGAATGTTGCCTTTGGATCCATCTGAAAACTCATTAAAAAATCAGTATTAGAGTACTTACAAAACACAGAGACACAAGGCTCCTTCCATACTCTCACTCTCTCGTATTAAATAGCTACCATTCTTTCTCTTCTTGCCCAGCAGTTCTTCACAAGTTTTTTTTGTTATCTTTCCATGAAAAAATGGCAACTCCATGGACAAAAGAAAACAAGGTATCTTGCCTTTCAGAGCAATTCCAGAGGAAGTCAGAAGGCTGGCATTAAAAGAAGACTTATTCCAAGTGCAGCTGCCTGCAGAGAACTGAAACTGGAGGCACTGAGTACACACACGAGTTCTTCTGTGTTGGTCACTGATCAGTCCAACCTGAGGCTGGTTAGCAGATGCTGCTCACAGCTCATGAATGCAGTGAAGGCAGGAAAGGGTTGGTCTACACTGGTCACCATCTACATCAAAAGGGAAATGACTTTTGAGGTACATACCACACCTCTAAGTTATGAAATAACTGAGTTGAGACCAAAGTAATTTTTTTAAAATTAACTTTTTATGTTTAAAGTGGCTCCAAGCCCTGCAAATAGGGTCCTGTGCTACAGGAATAAGTCAGGACTGTATAGAGAAGGAGAAAATTATCTAAAGAAACTCTTGACTTTTTATTCAAAATTAATTGGTGAATTTGAGAAGAGAAAATGAGTGTGTGTGATGTTCTAATCAGCCTCAGTCATGAGGCCATAGAACGTTCCAGAAAAGACTTGGTAATTCTTTTCATGCAGAGGTTTAAACAAATTTCATCAAAATAAGCTGTAGAACTACACAAGGTGTTTAACAGAGAAACAGTGTGAGGTGGAGGGTCTCTCCCTGGCTGGCTTCTTGACCCCAGACTGGGAAAAACCACCAGTGAAAAAAACAAGGTAAATTCTGACCAAACACTGTAAGCAAGAGCAGCCTTGTTGTACATGCAGCTATTACTTTCATGTTTCTTACTCTGACAACTTTATACACACAAAAATCTGATATTAACATTAGTGGATTTAACTGCAAGTTAATCATGCACGTCACTGAGATGTTTTCCAGATGGCATCTTAGTTCAGGAATAAAGCAATAAAGTACTGTTTTGTCTCAAAGAAATTTAGAGACTTATGAAAAAATGATAACCTTAAAAGAGAAACCTAGAAATGGCAAGTCCAAGGTGTCACTAAAGCTGAGGTCTGTACTGCATCACCACAGATTACCAACAAACAAGTCCCCATCCCCATGCAGGTGAACCTGTGTCTGTACTTAGAACCTCCAGTTTCTACTGTCTGCAAACAGCTGCATTTGGAATAAGTCTTCTTTTATCCCCCAAGGAGATGGGGATAGAGGTATTGTGGGGGAAATACCTTTGCCTTTCAAGTGTCCATAAGAGCATATGACAAATATTCTCCTTGCTTTGAAATACACTTGTATTTTCCTATGAGTTAAAACTGCTTGGGGCACATCTTATAAATAAAAGTTTTCCGTGAGGTATTGTGAGGTGAATGGCTTTTCCGGAAGCCCAGCTCTGCAAAGAAAGAGCAGCAGCTGCTCAGCACTGCCCTGCTTCAGACAGATCCTCTCTTCTCAGCGTTGAAAGGACGATGGATAGGAAACAACTACAAATTCCTCTTTCAGAAAGGTAGTCACTAGATCTTCCTCACAACTTTCCTTGAAAGACCTCATTATCTAGGTGCAGAAATAGAAGACAGTAGTGTCAGTAGATCTTGCAGATCTGAATCCAGAAGTTACTTAAAGGGAAACAACAACCACATGCTGCCCACTGATGGCTTAGTAGAGTGCTTCCCTGATGACAAAAAAAAAAACCTGGAGAAGGAGAAAGTGCTTGAGGAGAAATGGGGGCTAGGGTCTCCTTCCAGCAGCAGTCACCATCCCCTGCCCTGCCCACCTTCCTCCTCAGTTGTTTCCATGGCTCCCAGAGGGCACTCATGAATTAAGATAGTCCTTTTTCCTTACCTTACCTATCTGTAGTCTTTAAATGGACCTGAGAGTAGGAGCTTGATTTAAAAGCAGAAATCATAGAATTATACCAGAAAAAGGGGTCTGGGAAGGAGAAGGAAGAGAGAGGTTACAAATACAGTGTGGTCTGTCACTAAACCACAAACATGACTCTGTGACCAGACACAGGAACTTCCCACTGTGTCTTGTATGCTTACATATACGTATGTTTGTGTGTTTTGCTCTGACACTGGAGGGCAAAAATGCACAGCTTCTGGCAAAAATAAAACAGAACCTGTTGATGGAAGGTGAGGTGAGATTTCCTTGTTAATCACCATAGAATTGCTCCATGAGCCTCAACACAGCTTGTACCATACAGCATTGAGTCTATATTGTGTATGTTGGGATCACGTAACAATATATTTCCACAAGCCAAATTTAGCTGTAACTCTGAGCAAACATTTCCTAACAAGTATTTATGGCTTAACAATTTTAGCAAGTATTTTTGGCTTACACAAACCTGTATACCCAGAGTGCCTTCTTAGCTGAGTCTGAGGAGTGGTCAGAAATATGAGCTGGTGGTATCAATTGTGATGAAATCTGTGATGAGAAGCTTGGGAAGGTAGAATGGCAGTGATGTCCCAAGGTAATTGGGCTTATAATGGCAATCTTAGCTAAACCAAATCCAGCAAAGGCTGTTGTGAATTTGCTCTTAAAATCATTTTACTCCACTCCAAAATAGGAATTGGTCTGTTTTTTTCTTCTCATCTACTGAAGGAGATGTCACAGTTTCTAGGATAGCCCCCTTGCAGTGACTAACTAGCTTTTCAGATAACAGAGAAAAGGGAAAAAGCAAAGTTCTTTTTCCTGATAGACTGCCTCTTGGCCTGCTTCTACCATAGCATGGAAAAAACCGGGTAGAGTATCACTTCCTAAAAACCTTTGTATGTCAAAACAATTACATCCTTTAGTCAATTTCTTGTTTTATGAAGTTAAGGCAATCACTTCCTGCAGTCTTTCCCCACAAGCCACATTTTCTGGCAATTGTTCTTTTTACTTTTTCTGGCACCACTTTGGCTACGACTTCTATGAAATTTGATGCCTGCAAATGCACAAAATCTTTTGATTAGAAGAACAGGATAGTTAACCACTCTTCCTTTGATACAACAGCTGTAAGAGAAACAAAACCTGCAACATTTTGGAAGCAGTGTCAAGTCCTAGTTGACCATACATCTAATTGGTTTTCTACCATTCTATTGCCTTTACTAATTTTTGGGTTTTTTTTCCCTCTTGTTATCATGAAATTTAGTGGGCCCATTTCAGAGTGGAACCTCATGTTATCAACCACACTTTGGGCTCTGCTTTTACATCTCCTAGCTGCAGCTCTAATACAGCAAAGCTCTTGATAGTGTTTATGTAAGGACAGAAAATCTGAGGAAGAGCTTGGCTGCATTCATCAATACTCAGTGAGAATGTGGGATATGAGAGTTAGATTAAAAGCTGTATTCAAAAGCAGCTAAAAGCAAAACCAATGTGCTTGAGCTGTTGTGAATAAAGCAGGAAACTGAAGGGTCATTTGTTATTTGACCAGAAAAAAAAAAAAGACAACAAACAACCACAAAATAAGAAAACAGAAAGTAAGTTCTGAGAATCTGAGTCTCCTGACAACCTAAGATCTCATTGAGCTATGTTGCCAGGCAGTCACAGTCCTGTGGCTACTGTACAAACAGAACCAATTAGGTTTTTTGCAATAAGTACCACTATAGCAAGAAATTACATTTAATCTTGCAAAATTCACAACTGTAGCATGATATTTACACCAATCTGTGTTTTTGCAATGTACTGTGTCTGCATACAAATTTTTTTTTTTTTTGATGGTAAGATTTAATTTATAACAAAAGAAATATCATTATGTAAATTCAAGAAGAAAATTGAACTAGTGTGTCTATTAGTTACAGATTGCTGCTCGAGCTGTCTACAGAGCCCCAAGGCATCAGAGCTCTGCCATTAGCTTTCTAATAAAATGTAAACCTAGGAGGAAAAGTCTGTTTTATCACCCTCTTAAGGTATTGCCTTTTATAAAATAAAAGTAAATTGCAAATGATAATTCAAAATGAAAATGATAATTCAAAACTTGTCTGTGCTAAAAATTGAATCAAAAAGCCACAGAACCAAGGATTTAAAAAACGTAATATATCTATAAGATATATGAATAAGTGTAACTAGTGGGGTTTGGTCTTGAAATTATCTAGAATTTTGCTTAGAAATTTACTTGCAAGATAGAGCCACAAAATAATATTTTATTTCTCACTGGCAACCACGCTGCCAGGGTTCACAGCAATCTGTATTCAATTACTCTCTGAGCTTAGAATAGTTGCAATTTTTGTATTTAAGTGTTACGACCTGCCCCTGAGACAGGGTAACAGGTTCCTGGTAATAGATCCCTTGAGGTGAATTAGAGTGAAATGACACTGAATGACTGGTGTATGTATGAAGCAGATTTATTTTAAAACTATTTAATTGCAACAGAAAGAAGTTATGTAGCAGTTTTGGTTCTTTTCTGTAAAAATATAAATATATCACACCCTGAAAATTCATCTTCTAAAACATCATTAATTGATCTCAAATATCACATAAATCAATTAATGAAATGCAGTAAGAAGTCAGCTCACAGCATAATGCCTCCAAAGTACTGCCTTCCTATTAAGAAATATGCAAATGAAGCTGTGGGAAATGACAAAACTCACACTCAATCACATTTCTATACTTCTGCTGCATACTCCATCAAATATAACTACACTATAAAACTTGTAGCTTTTGTCTTAATATTTGACAAGACTCTGACTATGGTGTTCATTTGTCCACATCTAGAGTCACATTAACAGGGACATGTTTTTTACCTTCTGAATTTACTCTTACTAATAGATCTTTTCACTGTTACTAATATCTTCCCAGTCATTAAATTACCAGAATGATTACATACAAACTTTAGAGGGCTCTTATATAATTTTCTAAACCACTTAGATGCCAGCATTTAATTATTACCCTTCAACTACCAAACTTCCTTCATGTATTCCTTTACTGATGGTCTGGACAACATTAGAGAGGGTGATCAGAGAACAAGGCTCTCCAAGTGCACAGTGCAGTGCATGCACAGGACAAAATGATGGTCTAAACTCTCAAGAGTTTACAAGACAAGCTCATATAGATCCTGGGCTTGAATTCATGATCTTCAAGCAAGGCAG